TAAAAAATTCACCTCACTGGAATCCAATTTATTGTCCAGTGTTACTGCCAACATTATATCCTTTAGATTTTCTCTGAATCACCATGGTAACTACAAGAGTCACTTAACTGAAAAGAACTGCCCATAAGGATCCATGTATATATATTGACTTCACCCTCTTGACCGCTCATTTAGTTTTTTTCACATTATAATCTTCTCTGTGAATTTTTTTGCAAGAGGCGGAAACATATTATCGAGGTGAAATCTATTCTTTGAGCAACAGGTGGCAATGAGAAAAGGCATGTTGTGAATCAAACAGCTGTCATATTTTTGCCACCACAGCTCCTGTACAGAGTGATAATGCATCTGCAGGCATTCATCATCACATCATCCCTGCAATTTCACTCACTTCATCACAGCTCAGCCCAGCCAGCTGACAGACAGAGAAGCTTTCAGACAGTCCCCGTTTCTGAAAAAATAAAGCAGCTTCTGTGCTTTGTTCCATAGAGATGAAAGCAGTAAAATAGCTTTCAGGGACAGTTTTGTTTGTTCTATGTCTTGAAATGTTCACTCTCAACTGACACCCTGTCGATTAAGTGTGCTTCTGAACATCCAAAAATGCTTCAAAGGTTTGCTGAACCACAGCAACAGTGACAGACAAAAAGGAATAAAATAACATTAAAAGCCCTTGAAGTGTAGTTTAATATCTCACCAGTGGAGATTTTGAGGGATGGAAACTTAGCATGAGGAATACTGATCAGTTTATTAGAGATTCAGGAAATGAGTTTGGAAAGGTAATGTATGTGAGGGTAATGCAAAATAAAGAGCAGCTAATAAAAACGTTTCGCTTTACGAAGTGGCACACTGGCAGTCCTTGTTCACTGAAGCGTCTCAGAGAAGGAGTGCTGATCTAGGATCACATCCTGCCCCCTCTTATTCATTATGATATAAAAGGCAGAACTCCTACTTTGATACGGTTTGTGAGTACAGGCCAAGTTGTACTCCCACTGACACAGATTAAGCCTGGTCTTGGACTAAAAAGCACACTCTCCATTGCCCGGGAAACTGGCCCTTAAGTGTTTACCTTGGCTACCTTGACAAAATTATGGTCATCAGATTACAGACACTTTTGAAAAACTAAATGATTATATCTTGGATTACTTTTAGATTCAGAAAGGATGTTTACGAGAGAAAAAAATACATGACAACTTTCTGTTTTCTCAATGACATTCAAATCAGTATTGAAAAAAGGTGCAAGTTGAAGTTTGTTCCACCTGAGAGAGTCCGACCACAAGTCAGAGACCACTATGATGACACACCTAATGATGACCACCAATCAGAGACCACTGTGATGACACACCAAATGCTTTTGATGGATCCTTTTTGTCTTCTTCTAATGCCGCTTAAAGGGAAAGTAATCCCAAAGTAACTGAGTAATCAGATTACTTTACTGAGTTTGGGTAATCCAAAAGTTATGTTGCTGATTACAATTTTAAACAGGTAACTAGTAACTGTAACAGATTACATTTAGAAAGTAACCTACCCAACCTTTGATTGTTTTTAATCCATCTGTTTTGCAAACCTGTGCTCTTTACTCTCTACCTCTTTCCTGGAGTGGGTATGCTTTCATAGTTAAACCTGCTGCTACATTCCCAAGAGAACTACCTCAGAATTGCCACTGCAATGAAACAGGCAATTATCTGTAATTATACTACTTGGTTCCTGTATCTTACCATATCAAAGACTCACTCACCCAGACATGATGTCTCTTTAATTTCATTTGAGTGGCATGGTATTAACATACACAATTTATTGTACTAACGTAATTACATTTTGTTATAAATTGTAAAAATAACAGAAAAAAAGAAAAAAAGCAATTTATTGATCAGTTTTTTTTTTTTTTCATCTTCAACTCAATCACCTGAGGTTTGTACCAATGCTTTTATATACACTGATAGACAGAATATTGTACACTATAGAACCATGTGGAGATCCGAAAATAGGTATAACAGTGTACTGTATATCAAATATAAAAAAGACACAAAGTTATCAAAAGGTGAAATGCCTGTCAGTGTCAGTAGACTAGTTTCACATATCCTCAATTTGACCTGGAATCACGCAACACTCACTGGGCCCAGTTGAGGGGAAAGGTATCATATCTAAGGATATTTCTTCTTCACATTCAAACTGCAGTATTTCAGGCAGGATAAGGTTTCTTTGGTTATGTGAAGTATCGGAGATAATGGAGACTTTGTCAAACGGTACGTCCAAGTCTTCACCGTGTGAGACCGTGGGCTGGCGTTGTGCACAGTGCGCAGAGGCAGTGATATTTGTGTCTCTCTGGAGCGTAGTGTCGTGGTGGTAAGACACCAACTCATTGCTGAAATTGACAGCTTCTACAGTAGAACTGGAACAGTATCTATTGCAGCCTAGAATGGTGGAGAATGCTTTTCTGAAATCAGCATTAAATGCGTATATGACTGGGTTTAACGATGAGTTGGCCCATCCAAACCACACAAAAATGTTAAAAGTGGCGTTACTTACACACAGGCGGTCACCAACATTGTTAATGTCACAAAAAGGAACTATGCAGTTGACCACGAAAAAAGGCAACCAGCAAAATACAAACACTCCCATAATGATAGAGAGTGTCTTTAAAACTTTCGTTTCTTTTTTGAAAGTTGTTTTTAAGGAGTTTGTTTGCTCGGTTGCTTGCTGATTGTTCTGTGCGTGTTCCACGGCTCTCTCCAACGATGATATTCTCCGGATCTGGGTTTGCGCAATCCGGTAGATCCGTGTGTAAGTGCCAACCATAATAACGACTGGAATGTAAAAACTTATCAAAGAGGAAGATATGGCATATGTGCTATTCAAGCTTGCGTTGCAGTCCACGATTTCATTAGTGTCGTTCACTGTTACATTTTCCTCCTCTGCTTTGTGCCAATTGAGCTGAACGGGAATGAAGGAGATCAGAATGGAGAGGGTCCATGCCACTCCGATCATAACGAAGGCAAACCTCTGGGTCATTTTACGTTCATATCGAAAAGGGCTCGAAATTGCCCAGTATCTGTCCATACTTATTATACAAAGATTGAGAATCGACGCGGTGGAGCACATGATGTCAAAAGCTATCCAGGTATCACAGAAGCTGCCGAAGATCCAGCATCCGGCCACCTCAGACATAGCTTTCCACGGCATCACAAGAACCGCCACGAATAGATCTGATACCGCCAAGGAGATTACAAAAAAGTTGGTGACTTTAGATCGAAGGTGTCTAAATTTGATCACCGCGGCGCACACGAGTGTATTCCCAAGAAGCGTTGAAACGATCAGGATGAACAGGACGCACCCGGTGAGCGCGCGGACGCTGCGCCCGGAGCTGTCCGTTTCAGCACCTGCGGTTTCCTTGTCAGATTTCTCCATTGACAACTAATTTCTGCACATATAAAAGTTTGCGTCTTCTACAGTTGGCGTTCAGCACACAGTGTTGGAGACCCCACTTGCGGATTTGGGCACTCACGCAGTAGCTATTTCTTAAGTTGCTTAATGTTTCTTTAAATATAGCATAGCTACATCATAAACAGTATGTGGGCCAATTTAAGAGGCTCAGTTATAAGAATCGCAGTTATTTTTCTTACTCTGATCCAGTAAAACATTGTCCATGGTCGTGAATAGGCGCACTGCACATAACCTATTGTGCACGATCGCGCCTTTTTTTGACAGTGAATGAGTGAATAGTCTCCCTCAGTGCTTGATGATAGCAATTAAGACCCTCCTCTTAACAATGAGGTATGACGAAAACATTTGAATGTTTTTTGATCAGGGGTAATACCATCAACAGTAGTAAATGCAGTTAATGACGGCCCATGATAGGGATTTACATGACATTTTAGTCATTTAACAGACGCTCTTATCCAGAGCGACTTACAGTTAGTGCATACATTATTATATTTTTTTTTCATACCGGCCCCCCGTGGGAATCGAACCCACATCCCTGCCGGCCATTCCCTCCCCTACCCTGGACGACGCTGGGCCAAATGTGCGCAGCCCCATGGGTCTCCAGGTCGCGGCCGGCTACAACAGAGCCTGGATTCGAACCAGGATCTCTAGTGGCACAGCTAGCACTGCAATGCAGTGCCTTAGACCACTGCGCCACTCGGGCGATAATATCAGTAGTCTCACGTCTAGGCAATTTCAGAGAAATTCGGAAATCAGACAAGAGAAACATCTATAGAATATATATATATTGATTATAGAAAATCTAAACAAAATCTATAATCAATCAGTTAGCTATTGAATGAATGCGGACATAATCTGCACTTTCAGTAGCCTATGGCATAGCCTCTTACTTAGATGCCTCTAAGCATCTAAATACAACGAATCAGTGCCCAAGGGGGTATTTCATTGGCGCTGTCCATGGTGCTGAAACTAAACGGGGCACTACAGGTACCCTGTGAAGTGAACTAAATTAAACTGTACTGTGTGATCAACTCTTTCCAGGTCTTAGCCTGCCACCATTGTTGTGAGTCCCTTTACAAAATACCTACGGGATACTTCATCCAAAAAACGTATGCTGAACGAACGAATCCTGAATACCTGCGCATTGTGCTGTTTAAAAAAAAACTAGTGTCGGATAAACCAGGCGTGTTATAGCCCCGTACCGACAGCAGGTGTCACCTCATCCCAGATTTTCAGTCTGCGTGCTGGGGGATTTGCGCTCCCCCCTACGTCATTGGAATCTCAAAATGGCTCCTGCTCCTGTTCACGGTCCAAGTGGGGACGGCTGCCGGTTTTTCTAACAGAAATTATACACGACCATACGACTGACATTCTCCCTTTTTCTGCCGCTGTCTCTCGAAATAGAAACCGTATTTTGATTGCGTCATCATCATGTAATTAGGGATACGCTGAGATCATGATAGGCATAGCCTACAAGGAACGACCGGGACCGAGCAATTGTAGCTGATCCAGCCACCACAGCGTTTTTGTTGTGGAGCAGTGGTGTGGGGAATGTGAATGACATGGAAAAGGCAGAGAATGGCTCTTTTCCACCGGCTTTGTCTGTGAACGAAAAGGAGACCAGTAGCACATCTCTCACCCAGCCACTGTCTGACGGTACCGCCGACGCCGCAGGTCCTCTCTCTAAACATGTCAACAGGGATGAAACGTGTTGGACTGACAGCGGGGAGTCGGGTGAAGCAGGAGAGGATGCCCGTTCCACAGTAGCGTGTGTACGTATAGGGAGTACGAAAATGCTCGATTTAATTACTGACAGCCCATCCGGTGGCACTGTAAGCAACTGTGTCATTCCAGAGCCAGGTAGCGACTCTGCTACAAACGGGTTTACTGGGTCAATAATGGTAGGCTCCAAGGCAGGGAGCTGCTCTACTATCACTGCAGTGAATCGAGAGGAAATGGACGGAAATGCTCTCCGGGGGATCTCACTGGCTGAGAAGAACAATGGTTGCTCTGCAGAAAGACGAGATGCCTGTGTGACAGCAGCTGAGGCAGTACAGTCATTGGCACACTCCTGGAATGGACAGCTTGAACAGAGGTGCACAGCAGCCTCCCGGACTGGTCCCGAGGGGCTCTCGAATGGGGACACAGTCTGTGTTAAACAGAGTCCTGTTAGCAGTGATGCTGTTATTAGACCACATATTAACCGAAGCACAACCCCTGACAAGGAGGTCAAAATGGCAAACGGGGGAGTATTGATAGGATACAGCAGCGCCAAGTTACACACAGAGACCGCAGGAGCAATTCTTTCTGATGGAGCTGCAACCTGTCTCTCTAACCCACAATGTGAAAAACTCTCCTCATCTGCAGTGAGTGCAAGGGAGGGCCATCACGAATCCTGCAATATCAGAGAGGAACCTGACAGAGCCGGGGCCCAGCCTAGAACACAAGCTAACGTGGCAGGAGAGCTATCTGATGGCGCTACTTCCAGTCTCACCTCTCAGGGTTTACCATCAAGCCCAGCACCAACGAAAGACCCCTGCGGTGTCAAACCAGACACCAGGCAGGTAGTCGAACCATCATCATCACCATCTGGTCACCCAGGAGGTGATCCATCCTCCAGACCCCATCCTCAGGCCCACAAGACCACCAGTCTGAGCTATGACTCCTCCAACATTCTCAGCCCAGGGGATGAGGATGAGGATGAGGATGGGGAGACCTTCATGGAGCTGGGGGTCCAAGGCCCCAGTGACCTCAGGTTCATGGACATCAGTCTGAGCTCCGGGAACACCTATGAGTCCAACAGACGTCAGTCCGCCCCAGGACATATAGGACTGAGTGTGGACTCCTCCGAACTGGCCTTACAGTCAAAAAGACCCGGCATCGCTGAGTATTTCGGCAGGTACATTTGTTGTTTTATTTGTGGTCTGAGGTTATTTGCAGGGTGACGAGATGATTTCTTGCAAGGACAAGAGCGGTACAAACTTTGTCACAGTCTGCTTACATCTTCACATTATGTTTGCATTAATACTGTGGATAGCCGCATTATTGCTGCAATATACACCTGTTACAACAGCAGTCACTGCCATTAACCATGCTCTCCTAGGGCGGCAGGTAGCTTAGTGGTTAAAAGTGTTCTGCCAGTAACCGAACGGTTGCTGGTTCTAATCTCCGAGCCGACTAGGTGAAAAATCTGCCGATGTGCCCTTGAGCAAGGCACTTAACCCAAAATTGCTCATGTAAGTCACTCTGGATAAGAGTGTCTGCTAAATGACAAAAAAAAAAAAAAAAAAAGTATTGTAATAGCACACCAGGACATAATGAACAAAACCGGAACTAGAACTAGGTCTCATTCAACATTTAGCGCACCTGGTGGAAACGGAGCCAGCTGCAGTGAATGCTGTAATATTGGTGTTCCCACAAGGACATCCCCTAGGTGGTTACACTTTACATTAAAGGGATACTTCTGGATTTTGGCAATGAAGCCCTTTATCTACTTCCCCGGAGTCAGATTAACCAGTGGATACCATTTTTATGTCTCTGCGTGCAGTTTGAAAACCTACAGTAGGTTATCTCTCCAGGAACAGGGTTGGAGAACCCTTCTTTAAGGTATAAACGATTTAGAAACAGTTCATTATTAGTTCATAGATCGTTTATAAATCTGTAATAAATACTTATAACATGATTGGTATCTATCATTTAGTAATGAACAGTTGTTAAACTACGTATAATTCCTTTATAAACCCTTTTGAGTACACCTTAATGTAAAGTGTTAACCCCTAGGCTTATAATCCCACATAGGATCAGGTGAAATTGATTCAATTGATGAAATAAGAGTGCCAGCAAATCACTCACTCAATATCAGTATGACTTATTAGTATGAATTATTGGCACCCTTGATAAAGATGAGAAAAACTCACTGTATAAAATAAACATATATTATCTGCCATTAAAAAAATAAAAATAAAAATATATATATATATATTATTTTATACTAATACAATTGCTCAGAGAAAGAGATTTGTTTAACAAGTAAGATTTATTTTTTATAAAAAAGATAGGGGTCAAAATTATTGGCACCCCTGTTTTCGATACTTTTCAATACCTCACTTTGTGAGGATAACGTCACTTAGCCTTTTTCTAAAATGTTTTAAGAGGGCAGTCCATAAACGCAGATGAAAGACCAAGGATCTGGAAATATTCTGTATGGAGAAATGGTTTAAGATCCCTCCCAATGTGTTTCTTCAATCTCATAAAACATTTTAGAAAAAGACTCAGTGCTGTTATCCTCACAAGGTGATCTATTGAAAGGGATTGAAAACAGCGGTGCCAATAATTCTGCTCCCTATCTAAAAAAATAAAATAAGTATTACTTGTTAAACAAAATCCCTTTCCCTGAGCAAATGTATAAAATAATATTAATTTATTATTAGGATACAATATAGCTCAGTATTTGTATTATTTATTTTATACAGTCTTATTGCTCCTCTTTATCAAGAGTGCCAATCATTTTGGACCTGACTCTATGTCAGATCTAAGAAATGATTCAGAGACTCAGAGAAACCTTAATTTCCCTGTTTTCTCAGTATGTCGACTCATCAAAACTGTTTCGCTGACCGGAGGAACAAAATAAAAGTGTGTCATCATTAATAATCGCCCACACATTGTTCTGTCTTTTCTGTCTGTTCAGGGGTATATTTTCCAAGAAACATATAGAGCCGAAGGGTCCGTCCCAGAATGTCCCTGGGTGGAAGCTGTTTGGAAAGGTCCCTGCCAGAGAGAGCCCTCCCAAGGACTCCAGGACCATACAGCAGGTTGGTACCCCGGGCCCGTATTCTTAAAGCATGTCAGATTAGGAGTGCTGATCTAGGATCCGTTTTGTCTTTTAAATCATAATAACTAGGATTTCATTGACATGGAGGACCTGGGTCCGTATACATCAAGCATCTCAGCGTTGGAGTGGTGATCTAGGATCAGGTCATCCCTGTCCATACAATCTTATTTGTTATTATTTGAAAGACAAAACTGATCCTAGAGGGGGACAAAAATAAACGTTGTTTTTACAGCTTTTAATTTGGAATATTCTACACACATTTTATATACATGGCACTTTTATTTATTATCATTGTAAAGCATGAAGTACGGTGAGGGAAAAAAGTATTTGATCCCCTGCTGATTTTGTAAATTTGCCCACTGACAAAGTCTATAGTTTGAATGGTAGGTTTATTTGAACAGTGAGAGACAGAATAACAACAAAAAAATCCAGAAAAACGCATGTCAAAAATGTTATAAATTGATTTGCATTTTAATGAGGGAAATAAGTATTTGACCCCTCTGCAAAACATTACTTAGGACTTGGTGGCAAAACCCTTGTTGGCAATCACAGAGGTCAGACATTTCTTATAGTTGGCCACCAGGTTTGCACACATCTCAGGAGGGATTTTGTCCCACTCCTCTTTGCAGATCTTCTCCAAGTCATTAAGGTTTCGAGCCTGACGTTTGGCAACTCGAACCTTCAGCTCCCTCCACAGATTTTCTATGGGATTAAGGTCTGGAGACTGGCTATGCCACTCCAGGATCTTAATGTGCTTCTTCTTGAGCCACTCCTTGCCTTGGCCGTGTGTTTTAAGTCATTGTCATGCTGGAATACCCATCCACAACCCATTTTCAATGCCCTGGCTGAGGGAAGGAGGTTCTCACCCAAGATTTGACGGTACATGGCCCCGTCCATCGTCCCTTTGATGCGGTGATGTTGTCCTGTCCCCTTAGCAGAAAAACACTCCCAAAGCATAATGTTTCCACCTCCATGTTTGACGGTGGGGATGGTGTTCTTGGCGTCATAGGCAGCATTCCTCCTCCTCCAAACACGGCGAGTTCAGTTGATGCCAAAGAGCTCGATTTTGGTCTCATCTGACCACAACACTTTCACCCAGTTCTCCTCTGAATCATTCAGATGTTCATTGGCAAACTTCAGACAGGCCTGTATATGTGCTTTCTTGAGCAGGGGGACCTTGCGGCCGCTGCAGGATTTCAGTCCTTCACGGCGTAGTGTGTTACCAATTGTTTTCTTGGTGACTATGGTCCCAGCTGCCTTGAGATCATTGACAAGATCCTCCCGTGTAGTTCTGGGCTGATTCCTCACCGTTCTCATGATCATTGCAACTCCACAAGGTGAGATCTTGCATGGAGCCCCAGGCCGAAGGAGATTGACAGTTATTTTGTTTTTCTTCCATTTGTGAATAATCGCACCAACTGTTGTCACCTTCTCACCAAGCTGCTTGGCGATGGTCTTGTAGCCCATTACAGCCTTGTTTAGGTCTACAATCTTGTCCCTGACATCCTTGGAGAGCTCTTTGGTCTTGGCCATGGTGGAGAGTTTGGAATCTGATTGATTGATTGCTTCTGTGGACAGGTGTCTTTTATACAGGTAACAAGCTGAGATTAGGAGCACTCCCTTTAAGAGTGTGCTCTAATCTCAGCTCGTTACCTGTATAAAAGACACCTGGGAGCCAGAAATCTTTCTGATTGAGAGGGGGTCAAATACTTATGTCCCTCATTAAAATGCAAATCAATTTATTACATTTTAGTCATTTAGCAGACGCTCTTATCCAGAGCAACTTACAGTTAGTGAATACATTTTTTATACTAGCCCCCCGTGGGAAACGAACCCACAACCCTGGCGTTGCAAACGCCATGCTCTATCAACTGAGCTACATGCCTGCCGGCCATTCCCTCCCCTACCCTGGACGACGCTGGGCCAATTGTGCGCCGCCCATGAGTCTCCCGGTCATGGCCGGCTGCGACAGAGCCTGGATTCGAACCAGGATCTCTAGTGGCACAGTTAGCACTGCGATGTGGCGCCTTAGACCACTGCGCCACTCAGGAGACATGAGTGAGATTAGGAGCACTCCCTTTAAGAGTGTGTTCCTAAAAGACACCTGGGAGCCAGAAATCTTTCTGATTGAGAGGGGGTCAAATACTTATTTCCCCCATTAAAATGCAAATCAATTTATAACATTTTTGACATGCGTTTTTCTGGATTTTTTTGTTGTTATTCTGTCTCTCACTGTTCAAATAAACCTACCATTAAAATTATAGACTGATCATGTCTTTGTCAGTGGGCAAACGTACAAAATCAGCAGGGGATCAAATACTTTTTTCCCTCACTGTAGTTACATAGCAAGAATAAAGTAATTTGATATTTTGATATACATTACATCTAGATAGATGGTACTTATACATGATACATTGTGTTTTCAGTCACAACTATTATAGAACATTAGCTTTTAAACCCACCCCTCAGCTACTCTCAGTCCATCCCACCTATCTCTGTAAACTGCCCTCTTATGATTTCCATGTGCCATATATATTTCAACTGTGCTGTGACGTTTCACATAAATTCTGAAACTGTCTAATCGCATAGTATCTACAGATTGTAAGTTAAAGATAAATATTTTTACTAAAAGTATTATTATATTGTTGATTGATTGACTATGGTTTTCCAAATCTCCCAACAGTGCTATTTGTAGGGTTAATTTTAGATAAATGTTTAGATTTTTCAGCTATTCCTGAACCTGTGACCAGAAACAAGCTTCATAGTGATCTAATGATTCTGTCTCTTTGTAGCTAAACCTGCAGAGCTGAGAGGGTTGTATGCCCCATATACATAACATTCTGTTTGTGGCAAGAATTTTGTATAATAATTTAAATGGAAAAACTCTTAAATTTTGAATCAATCGTTGTGCTCTGAGAAGCTTTTTGAATGCAGGCTCTGATGTCACTGTGCTCCTACATCTACAGTAGTGATTCACTAACCTATTAACTGACCGTATAACTTCCTGGACAGTATTGTGTACCGGAGAGAACACTGTTGAATGCAATGAGCTCAATATTTAGCTTAGATCATTTTCCCCACGTACTTCATCCCTATTCATCAGGGTTATGTCAGCCTTACATACCTAACCTCACTTTGTTAACATACATCGTTTAAAGCTTTAAAGAAAGTCAAGAACTACCGCTATTTAATCTAAAATCAAGTAATTTACACCCCTTCTGTTCAACTCCTTCACCAACGATACATTGCAGCCCTTTGTTTTGTTGTATCACATGAATCATTAGTTTAATTGCAGCCTTGTACAATATGTAACGCCACAGCATAACAATCACTCCCTAGGCTCTATTCTCACAATACCAATCTGACCAGGTTGCAAACTGATAGCAACTCACTCTCACAGCTCAAGTCAATTCTTTATATCGTTCCATCTGTGAATCCTGTAATAGAGCATCTTGTAATGATGACATCAGAGCTTATAGATAAGTGTGGCAAAGGCTGTAGTCAGTCTGTACTTGGCCTACTCCTTCCCAACACTTGACAAGAGAGAGTAGGGCGTGGTAGGAGTAGGGTTCAGGTCCTCCATGTTGGAGGCTGGCAGGCCACTACAGCTGTTGAGTGTGTATGCTCCAGCTGGCGCTGTGCCTGGGGCTGGCAGGCTGCCTGGCTGGGTAAGGAGCTGGTCTTACTCAAGTGGTATGCCTCTTGCCTGCTGCCTGCTGTGTTGAGCCTCGGCTGGGCTTGAATTATGCCCATCTCCTAGCCTCAACCGTGAGGCTTGTCTCCTGCCCTTAGCCCCTAGCTCTGTCATTCCTCTCCCTCTCTCTCCCTCTCTACCTCCCCCACTCTACCCTGCAGGTACTGATCTGTCTCCACACTCGTCGGAGGCAATAATGCATGTTTTCATGCCTGGATGGAAACAGACACTAAAGCCAATTTTTCCCTTCACTGGATTAGTTGTGCACTCAACTCTAGGACTGTATAACTGCAGACAAGGATGAGAGCATTTATATGCCTCACTACTGAGATTATGACTAGACAAGATGATCTCATCTAGAGTAAGCTACAGAGGTTGGAGCAGGGATCTACACTCTTAGAAAAAAGGGTTCCAAAAGGGTTCTTCGGCTGTCCCCATAGGAGAACCCTTTTTGGTTCCAAGTAGAACTCTTTTGGGTTCCATGTAGAACCATCTGTGGAAAGGGTTCTACATGGAACTCAAAAGGGTTCTACCTGGAACAAAAAGGGTTCTACCTGGAACCAAAAAGGGTTCTTTAAAGGGTTCTCCTATGGGGACAGCCGAAGAACCGTTTTAGGTTCTAGATAGCATCTTTTTTTCTAAGAGTGTAAATGTCAGAGGGTCCATCCGTAATGTGTTCCACAAATGTGCAGTACAGAAACTCGGAAGATGGGAAGATTATTCATGCAGTTATCCTACATGCAGGGGGAGGGAGGGACTGAGTTGGATCTCCAACAGAGGCATTTTCAATAAAGTTGACTATCTTCTTAACCATAGCCAAAGGCCAAAGATGCTTATGTGGATTGGAAGTGTACTGAAGTACTTCGTCGGAGTTGTTTTTGGAGGGATTGAGCTATTTAACTCTGAGTGCAAACTCTGTTCTTCTTTCATCAGGAGAGTATTCCTGGTGGTCTCACGTCTGTGTCCGCACCCAATCTCTTAAGCGAAGGGGTATGGACTTTCTCAAGTTTCCTTTTCAGTCATCTTCTCAATCTCCTATCTGCATGGGGCTGCCAAGCAACCATTTCCATTGAACATCCAACTCATGTCCATGCCAACCCTAGCACTGACAGGGGAGGGGAAATGCATTTAAAAAAAAGAAAAAAAAAGGAATCATTCTTCGCAGATTCTTCAACAATACCAAGGTCTCTGAGACTCTTGCCATAGGTCCAGCAGCTCAGTCTCTGTGGCTCAAAATGTTGTAATCCAAAGTATGACTATATCTTTTTTCCAGTTGTCCTAACATACAGGACGTGCGACCACATGTTTCTCTAGTGTAATAGATCTATTCGGTATCGATTGTATTCCTTGTATTCCTTATCTGGGAATGTTAGGATTTTTGGTTTACCTTACACTGGTATATTTTACTTCAGGATTATGAATACACAGTTGATTACGTGATTGTATATACACTTTGACATTACAAGTGGTCCCAGAGCTCTATCTGCTTCACTGCTATACCATTTGGGATTATATAGCGGTAGCCTTACGCTAAAAATGCATGGGTGTTGGTTATACACAGTTCATCTCTGACTTTTCTTAGAACTATAGGACAGCAGCAATACATTTGGAGAAAGAGCTGTGACTATTTCTAAATTTGTACTATGGGGGGCTGTTCTTCTTCACTGGTGTTGGTAAATCTCACTCTCCTTAGATGGCACTCCCCTCCCCTGTCCCTACCAGACATTTCCTCTGATAGCCCTCGGTGTAACTGCACCAATAAATTCCTTGAAGGAGCCACAACACAAGACAATGTAGCCATTGAAATCCATACAGAAGCAGTTTCATGCATCGTGAAAGGTCAAAGTTGAGACTTGTATTGTATTGTGTAGTGGAGGTGAGGGCTGTATGGTCACTAAGTCTACTAGATACTCAATGTATCAACTCGCACGAAACAAACCCATTGGATATCAGTGGCATCATGTACAGCAACTGAACATAAAGTAATTCATTCAACAGGCTCTGATGCATTAGGCATGGCTAGGTGTTTATTGACCCCCTCTAGAAATGAGTTATATGATGAACACCCTGAGGATGCTCTCTCTCTCTCCACAGTCATCAACAACCATCACACTCCTCAGTCCCCCCATTTTTTTCTCTCTCTCTCTTTCTCTCTCTCTCGCTCTCTCTGCCTGCCTGCCAGTATGGGCTTTGTGATGTCCATCATCCGGTCAGATGATCCTGTCACCCCTCGCGACTAACCCCACTCTATCTTTCCTTCCTTTCAAATGGAAACCCGGAAGTCTAGTTGGGCTAGTTGACATGCATGTATTAGGGCTGTGTTTCCTAGTTGCTATGGAGATTCAGGTTTTGATGTATCTGCAGGAGTACGAGGCCAGGGCGGGCAAGGCGGGGTCTGGGGGAACGTCAGCTGGGACGTCCCCTACTCAGCCTCAACATGGCCGGAGGAAGAACCTGGACTTTGAGCCACTGTCCACCACAGCTCTTATACTGGAGGACAGGCCTTCGTAAGTCCACACTATCTCTCCTCTTTTCTCTCTCTACTTCTATTTCTTTCTGTTCCTCTATTCCTCTCTTCTAGTGTATTATGCCCCCCAGTTCTTATGCCCCCAAGGGCAGAATTTGTTGTTTTGAGATCTGGAGCCAAATTACTAACACACATTACATTCTTTGCAACTAGGCTCAGGCCAGGGTGTGGTGTCTATTAAGAACACAGTAAGAAACACAGCGTCCAGAGACGAGTGGTGTTGTGTTTTTCCTAGTGGGTCTCCTTGGTCACCTCAGCTGCTCTCTCTGATCCAAGACCTCAGGCCCTCATTAACAATAGATACAGTGTATGAAATATGAGTGTGTTGTCTGAACCATGACAAACACACTGTCTGCAAGGCAATGTGTTAAACTTGACTAAAAGTAGCCATTTTGTGTCCTCAGTTGCTGTGATATGCACGGATTACGGTGAAACTGACTGACACTGTGTCGCCTCTCCTCTTGTCTTTCTGCAGGAACCTTCCTGCCAAGTCTGTGGAGGAGGCCCAGCGTCACCGCCAGGAGTATGACGAGATGGTGGCCGAGGCCAAGAAGAGAGGTACTGTTACTGCACTGTCTGCCTCCTCAGAGCTGTGTGATGGAGGTCAGCAGCATCTGGCCTGTCCACTGTACAGACCTCCAGACGGCACTAAGCTCAATCTGTCTGTTGTAGCTGTTGCACATACTTTGTAACTTTACATCATGATAAAAATTGTAAAGCATTATACAAATTATTATAAAGCATTTATAAGCATCTGTTAACATCTATAAGCATGTATAATGGCTTATTCATTGAAGTTATTGTAAAGTGTAACCAAAGGATTTGTGCCCCACTCCCCCCACAGAGTTAAAGGAGGCCCAGAGGAAGAGGAAAGAGGTGAAGGAGAGGTTTAAGCAGGAGGACAGCATCGCCAACGCCATGGTGGTCTGGAACAACGACATCCTGCCCAACTGGGACAACATGTGAGTTAGCTAGCTAGCCACTTCCTGCTAAACAACTCTCCACTGGCACGGAGCAGCCATGTACACTATCCAGTCAGGCAGGCAGTCAGTCAGTCAGTACAATATTCATTCAGTTACTCAGTTAGTCAGTTATTCTGCCAGTCAGCCAGCCAGACAGTCAGTCAGTGAGCCAGTCAGTAACTCGGTCAGTCAGTCTGTGAACCAGTCAGTCAGTAGTCAGTCAGTCAGTAAACTAGTCAGTCAGTCAGTAGTCAGTCAGTCAGACAGTCAGTCAGTGAGCCAGTCAGTAACTCGGTCAGTCAGTCTGTGAACCAGTCAGTCAGTAGTCAGTCAGTCAGTAAACTAGTCAGTCAGTCAGTAGTCTGTCAGTCAGTCAGTAAACTAGTCAGTCAGTCAGTCAGTCAGTCAGTCTGTGAACCAGTCAGTCAGTAGTCAGTCAGTCAGTCAGTCAGTAAACCAGTCAGTCAGTCAGTAAACCAGTCAGTCAGTCAGTAGTCAGTCAGTAAACTAGTCAGTCAGTCAGTAATCAGTCAGTCAGTAGTCAGTCAGTCAGTCAGTAAACTAGTCAGTCAGTCAGTAAACTAGTCAGTCAGTCAGTAGTCTGTCAGTCAGTCAGTAAACCAGTCAGTCAGTCAGTAGTCTGTCAGTCAGTCAGTAGTCAGTCAGTCAGTCAGTAAACTAGTCAGTCAGTCAGTAAACTAGTCAGTCAGTCAGTAGTCTGTCAGTCAGTCAGTAAACTAGTCAGTCAGTCAGGGCTCCCATGTGCAGTAGGCCCATGCCAGTCTGTTTGTGTCCCCATGTAGGTGTAACACTCGGCGGGTGAGAGAGCTGTGGTGGCAGGGCTTGCCCCCCAACGTCAGAGGAAAGGTCTGGAGCCTGGCCATCGGCAACGAGCTCAACATCACCCCAGGTATGTACTCCCATCATACAGTGCCTTGCAAAAGTATTCATCCCCCTTGGCGTTTTTCCTATTTTGTTGCATTACAACCTGTAATTTAAATTGATTTTTATTTGGATTTCATGTAATGGACATACACAAAATAGTCCAAATTGGTGAAGTGAAATGTAAAAAATAACTTGTTTCAAAACATTCTTAAAAATAAATGATGGAAAAGTGGTGCGTGCATATGTATTCACCCCCTTTGCTATGAAGCGCCTAAATAAGAGGTGGTGCAACCAATTACCTTCAGAAGTCACATAATTAGTTAAATAAAGTCCACCTGTGTGCAATCTAAGTGTCACATGATCTCAGTATATATACACCTGTTCTGAAAGGCCCCAGAGTCTGCAACACCACTAAGCAAGGGGCACCACCAAGCAAGCGGCACCATGAAGACCAAGGAGCTCTCCAAACAGGTCAGGGACAAAGTTGTGGAGAAGTACGGATCAGGGTTATAAAAAAATATCAGAAACTTTGAACATCTCACGGAGCACCATTAAATCCATTATTAAAAAATGGAAAGAATATGGCACCACAACAAACCTGACAAGAGAGGGCCGCCCACCAAAACTCACGGACCAGGCATGGAGGGCATTAATCAGAGAGGCAACAAAGAGACCAAAGAGAACCCTGAAGGAGCTGCAAAGTTCCACAGCGGAGATTGGAGTATCTGTCCATAGGACCACTTTAAGCCGTACACTCCACAGAGCTGGGCTTTACGGAAGAGTGGCCAGAAAAAAAGCCATTGCTTAAAGAAAAAAAATAAGCAAACACGTTTGGTGTTCGCCAAAAGCCATGTGGGAGACTCCCCAAACATATGGAAGAAGGTACTCTGGTCAGATGAGACTAAAATTGAGCTTTTTGGCCATCAAGGATAACGCTATGTCTGGCGCAAACCCAACACCTCTCATCACCCCAAGAACACCATCCCCACAGTGAAGCATGGTGGTGGCAGCATCATGCGGTGGGGATGTTTTCCATCGGCAGGGACTGGGAAACTGGTCAGAATTGAAGGAATGATGGATGGCGCTAAATACAGGGAAATTCTTGAGGGAAACCTGTTTCAGTCTTCCAGAGATTTGAGACTGGGACGGAGGTTCACCTTCCAGCAGGACAATGGACGCTCCAGTTTTCTGTTTTTTTGTCTTATTTCTTGTAGGTTTCACAAGAAAAAATATTTAGCATCTTCAAAGTGGTAGGCATGTTGTTTATATCAAATGATACAAACCCCCAAAAAATTCATTTTAATTCCAGGTTGTAAGGCAAAAAATAGGAAAAATGCCAAGGGGGGTGAATAATTTCGCAAGCCACTGTAATTGTGTATTCCAATTGGCATGCCAAAATATGATTTGCCTTCAGAATAAGATATACAACGTGAAGGATGTCATGTACAGTTGAAGTCGGAAGTTTACATACACTTAGATTGGCGTCATTAAAACTCGTTTTTCAACCACTCCACAAATGTCTTGTTAACAAACTATAGTTTTGGCAAGTTGGTTAGGACATCTACTTTGTGCATGACACAAGTAATTTTTCCAACAATTGTTTACAGACAGATTATTTCACTTATAATTCACTGTATCACAATTCCAGTGCGTCAGAAGTTTACATACAGTAAGGTGACTGTGCCTTTAAACAGCTTGGAAAATTCCAGAAAATGATGTCATGGCTTTAGAAGCTTCTGATAGGCTAATTGACATCATTTGAGTCAATTGGAGGTGTACCTGTGGATGTATTTCAAGGCCTACCTTCAAACTCAGTGCCTCTTTGCTTGGCATCATGGGAAAATCAATAGAAATCAGCCAAGACCTCAGAAAAAATGTGTAGACCTCCACAAGTCTGGTTCATCCTTGGGAGCAATTTCCAAACGCCTGAAGGTACCACGTTCATCTGTACAAACAATAGTACGCAACTATAAACACCATGGGACCACGCAGCCGTCATACCGCTCAGGAAGGAGATGTGCTCTGTCTCCTAGAGATAAACGTACTTTGGGGCGAAAAGTGCAAATCAATCCCAGAACAACAGCAAAGGACCTTGTGAAGATGCTGGAGGAAACAGGTACAAAGGTATCTATATCTACAGTAAAACGAGTCCTATATCGACATAACCTGAAAGGCCGCTCAGCAAGGAAGAAGCCACTGCTCCAAAACAGTCATAAAAAAGCCAGACTACGGTTTGCAACCGCACATGGGGACAAAGATCGTACTTTTTGGAGAAATGTCCTCTGCTCTGATTAAACAAAAATAGAACTGTTTGGCCATAATGACCATCGTTATGTTTGGAGGAAAAGGGGGGGAGCTTGCAAGCCGAAGAACACCATCCCAACCGTGAAGCACGGGGGTGACAGCATCATGCTGTGGGGGTGCTTTGCTGCAGGAGGGACTGGTGCACTTCACAAAATAGATGGCATCATGAGGAAGGAAAATTATGTGGATATATTGAAGCAACATCTCAAGACATCAGTCAGGAAGTTAAAGCTTGGTCGCAAATGGGTCTTCCAAATGGACAATGACCCCAAGCATACTTCCAAAGTTTTACTGCCAGGAAGTGCCTTTGTGGTTTACACAAAAATGCATAGTAGACGTCTCAGCTGGAGGACCCACCGCCTGACTCATTGCGAGAGATCTTCTTTCATTTCCCCCATTTATTTTCCTCCCTTCTCTACAGAGCTGTACGACATCTTCCTCTCCAGAGCCAAGGAGAGATGGAGGAGTTTCACCTTCCAGCAGGACAATGACCGCTCAAGTTTTCAGTTTTTTTGTCTTATTTCTAGTTTGTTTCACAATAAAAAATATTTTGCATCTTCAAAGTGGTAGGCATGTTGTGTAAATCAAATGATACAAACCCCCAAAAAATCAATTTTAATTCCAGGTTGTAAGGCAACAAAATAGGAGAAATGTCCTCTGGTCTGATTAAACAAAAATAGAACTGTTTGGCCATAATGACCATCGTTATGTTTGGAGGAAAAAGGTGGGCGCTTGCAAGCCGAAGAACACCATCCCAACCTTGAAGCACGGGGGTGGCAGCATCATGCTGTGGGGGTGCTTTGCTGCAGGAGGGACTGGTGCACTTCACAAAATAGATGGCATCATGAGGAAGGAAAATTATGTGGATATATTGAAGCAACATCTCAAGACATCAGTCAGGAAGTTAAAGCTTGGTCGCAAATGGGTCTTCCAAATGGACAATGACCCCAAGCATACTTCCAAAGTTGTGGCAAAATGACTTAAGGACAACAAAGTCAAGGTATTGGAGTGGCCATCACAAAGCCCTGACGTCAATCCTATAGAACATTTGTGGGCAGAACTGAAAAAGCGTGTGCGAGCAAGGAGGCCTACAAACCTGACTCAGTTACACCAGCTCTGTCAGGAGGAATGGGCCAAAATTCATCCAACTTATTGTGGGAATTTGTGGAAGGCTACCCGAAACGTTTGACCCAAGTTAAACAATTTAAAGACAATGCTACTGAATACTAATTGAGTGTATGTAAACTTCTGACCCACTGGGAATGTGATGAAAGAAATAAAAGCTGATAAAAATCATTCTCTCTACTATTATTCTGACATTTCACATTCTTAAAATAAAGTGGTGATCCTAACTGACCTAAGACAGGGAATTTTTACTAGGATTAAATGTCAGGAATTGTGAAAAACTGAGTTTAAATGTATTTGGCTAAGGTGTATGTAAACTTCCGACTTCAACTGTACAGACATTAAAATGTATACTTGTAAAAATGTAGTACCATATTGATTGTTTTCTAACGAAGCAACACTTGCACCTCTTTCAGTTGGAATAGATTTACCAGCCTGTTGTGTATGTAGTGGAAGGAATTTGTGTATGTCAAGGCCGACTGGTTTTACTGCCAGGAAGTGCCTTTGTGGTTGACACAAAAATGCATAATAGACGTCTCAGCTGGAGGACCCACCGCCTGACTCATTTTGAGAGATCTTCTTTAATTTCCCCCATTTATTTTCCTCCCTTCTCTACAGAGCTGTACGACATCTTCCTCTCCAGAGCCAAGGAGAGATGGAGGAGTTTCAGTGAGACGGGTTCAGAGACAGAGGCTGACGGTACGTCTGAGATGGGGGGTGAAGGGAGTGGGGAGGGAGGCCCTCACGGGGCAAGACTGTGAATTTCAGACACACACACCATATTGAGGACTGTCAGACCCTAGACTCATCCATTATCCCCTCTTCCTATCATGGCACAAACAACGTTACAGAGAGGTCGAACCAGTAGGAGATCAGTTTATTTTAGTAAACTGAAATGATCAAGTTGGTCCTTTCGTTAATAATCTGTTTGTGTTTCGATTCTAGATGGGGCATCGCTGGCAGACAGAGAGTCCAGTCTGGACCTGATCAAGCTGGACATATCCCGCACATTCCCCCCTCTTTTTATCTTCCAGAAGGTACAGTACATCTCTTACCCCACTACTGTGTATGTGTGTGTGCTCAATGTCATCCTCTGATTGTCTTCTACCACAGGGTGGGCCATATCATGATCTCCTCCACAGTGTGCTGGGGGCCTACACCTGTTACAGACCTGACGTGGGATATGTGAGTAACACTTCAAAACGGCAGTCTAAGTCCTTATTTTATGCCATACTGTACATGCGGTGATTGTGAACTAAAATGGTGGTTCTGTTCTCTCAGGTCCAGGGCATGTCCTTCATAGCTGCAGTATTAATCCTCAACCTGGAGGAAGCTGATGCCTTCATTGCCTTCGCTAACCTGCTCAACAAGCCCTGCCAGCTGGCCTTCTTCAGAGTGGACCATGATCTGGTGAGGCCTACTTCCACAGTGAAAAACTGTCCTCTCTAAAACTAATTTAAAGGGATAGTTCACCCAAATGACAAAATTACATATTGGTTTCCTTACCCTGTAAGCAGTCTATGGACAAGGTATGGCAGCAATCTATGCTTTGGTATAGTTTCCCTGGCACTGTTTCCACATGCTAACGTTTTAGCATTTGTGGCACAAATCCCATTCAAGTCATGGGACTGATATTAGCATTTTTCGCACATCATGTTCATATCATCTATAAGTGACTTTGTTGAGTTTCACAATCCATTTTAGAAACTTTTGGATAATTTGGGCATGATGCACGATTATCCCGTTAACAGTACTGAATTAGTGGTCCCTGAATCTCTCTCTGCCCATTTTCCCCTCTAGATGCTGAAATACTTTGCTGCGTTCGAGGTGTTCTTTGAAGAGAACCTCCCAAGACTGTTTAACCACTTCCAGAGCTCCAACCTCACCCCAGATCTCTATCTCATAGACTGGTGAGTAACTATGGGATCTCTATGAAAATGTGAAAGCATGTAGCAGTTCTGTGTTAGTGTGGCCTTCAAGCTGTTATCTCATAGTTTTAACCCCAGCCATGCTGTCAGTTCATTATTCACAGTTATCAGAGCACAGCTGCTGCATGCTGTAAGATTAATTTATCTGCTTTCCCCATTCCGCTAACTGCCATTTTTGACCTGTGTGTGTCTGTCTGTGTCTGTTTACAGGATCTTCACTCTGTACAGTAAGTCGTTGCCGTTGGACGTGGCATGTCGTGTGTGGGACGTGTTCTGTCGTGACGGCGAGGAGTTCCTGTTCCGGACGGGCCTAGGGATCCTGCGTCTCTATGAGGACGTGCTCCTACAGATGGATTTCATCCACAGCGCACAGTTCCTGACACGCCTCCCAGAGGATATAGGCTCTGATAGGCTGTTCGCCTGCATCGCAGCCACGCCCATGCTCAACGGAAACAGGAAATGGTTCCAGGTCAGTTCCTCTAAACATAAGAAGACAGGGAAGTGAGAAAATGGACACGTTTGCACCAAGTGACAATACATATATAAGAATATTATTATGTGGTTAGGTTGAAGGCATTTCTAGAGTCTATTGTGTGAACTGGGACATGCTCCCAGAATTCCTCACAAATATCCTGTAATTATGTCCAGTCTCTGGTGTGCCCCGTCATGTGTGACACTGGTGTGACCAGGAGCAGTTTGGGAATGACACGTCACTCAAGACACTGCAATGTAAAATAATTCAGGTTATATTTGCCACCTTTATCATAGATTCACACTTGTTGGTTCCTACAATTCATATACCACAGCACCTGCAGAGGTGAATGTATGTCAGTTAAAGAAATACATAAGAAAGAACCCATATGATAGTCTGCCTTTTTGTGGAAATGCAGCACCACCTACAGGTATGTATTGTGGATGCCTAAAAAGAACGATCAGTTGCAGTTTTATATTGAGATTTGTTCTTCCTCTCCTCTCCAGGTTTTTAATGCATTGATAAAGGAGAACAAGGACATGGACAGGAATTGCAGCCAAGCACTGAAGAGTTCATGATTCAGCCGTGGAACATTTTAATGATCACGTTCCTCTCTTTAATTGAGAGGCTTTGATCACATTAGAGTCATCATGGTAAATGGACTTTAAAGAATGACGTCATACTTGAAGATGGAGGCCTCGGACACCATTGCCAGTTTGATTGAATTGAGAGTATTTATGGTAGTATACCATGAACATATGATGACATACTGTAGGTAGATGTGATATATTGGGTCTGTCTAATTGCTCCTGTAAGTCGCTCTGGATAAGAGCGTCTGCTAAATGACTAAAATGTAAATGTAAATGTCTAGTCCTATCAGAAAGGTATGGAGTTTCTTAGATTGAGTGAGGCCCTTTGTTACACCTGTGGATTGTATCTCACTAACATTACAAGATATTTAATGAAAGTGCACCTCCAAGCATAGATATATTTATGACTTAATTCATCCAAGCCAATATTACAACATAGAAGGAAAATTAGGAAATAATTAAAACAGTGACAGAGCCCTTCCGTTTCTTAAGTGTCTGAAGCTTGACATCGAATAGTTTAACTAAACTACCAGTAATAGGTTTTCATTAGTGAGCAGTGAGCAATTGTTTCCGAAAGACTCATAGGAATTGCAATAGAGAAAATGTGTGACGTGTGGCACTAGCCCATTATTAGACTAAAGGAGCCTACTGTTACTCCTTAGTCCAAGGACCTTAAATGTTCTGTTTAAAGGGCGAATTGACTCTGGAAGACAAAACAGCCAAATACTCGGCATCTAAACATGAATCGATTCTCAATTGCGGTACGGTTCTAGAAACATAAATCCCTCTACTTTCATATCACATCAAAATAATTTAACAAATGCAAAAAACACTGGGTTTAACACAGTTGCAGCCGACAGTATTTTTCAGTGACAACACGTTTGTGGCCTCTGTCTTCCGTTTACACACAGGTGTTCGGAGACGCAGAGAGATAATTAGCACAGGTGGTCCACTCTGTCTTCCGTCTGTTTTCTGTAAACAAGCACTGTAACGTGGAAATATGGCCGTGTGGGAACCCTAACCCTATAAAGGTGTATATCAATTTAACCTTTTGTTTTTGTTTAATTCAAAAGGCACTCGCACATCTGAGCTATCTTTGTTGCAGGTGCATGGTAACAGTCGAATAAGATGAGAAAAAATAAGAAACCCGCATACTGCTCTTGCAAGTATCACTGCTCTTTATTAAGTTAGCTTTACAAAGGCCTTGAGGCCGATACGTAAAGCTAGATTAATAAAGAGCAGTGATACTAGCAAGAGCAGTGATACTAGCAAGAGCAGTGTTCGGGTTTCTTCTTTTTTCTCAACCTTTTGTTTTTTGAAAATTAGGTCCTTATGCTTCCAAAATCGTACCATAAGCGATGCGTGTTAATGTTCAGACCGAACGTTGCGTCTCTTAACAAAACCCCCTACAGAAGACGCCTTCGTCCAATGACCCTGTGTAATGTAATGGAACTGAGAGTCATGATCAAGGGCTTGTGTGCCACATGAGGTTTCAGTGTTTTGCTTTTGGGCTGGATGAATCCACAGTGAAGCTATTATATTGTTGTGAATTAAACAGAAATGAGACACTTTTTCACCTATTCATGAAACATAATTCACTTTTAAAACTTGGTCTTGTTGGTGATGTTGCTCACATCTATTTTTACTTTACATTTGACCAAACACTTATGTTGAGGTCCAACATATTTTATCATCAATGCTGTAGTTCATGGTGCTACAGTACAGTTTTCACATCTGATTATGTATATTGTTTCTTATGCTCTCTCTATTGTACAGTTTTCATACTGCGTACTAAGAACAATTGTAAATATATTTTAAATGAATTCAAAAGTGCCTCTGTGATACTGTATCAGACCAGAAGTTATGAATTATGTAAATAAACCAAAGAGATGATTATTCCAAGATGGTCAACAGTTTTTCCTGACCACCACACCTAAGCACACCAGTCCTCCCAACCAGTACGTGGCGGTGTTTTCAAATCAATATGAAGAGATCACCGTTTACTTCAATGATCTTCACCGACGCCTAGCTAGTAGAAAATAAATACTTCCGGTAAAGGAAAGAAACACGTGTGGCAATATTTTACAGTTTATATTATAATAATCAACGTTATACTAGTTATTTTATATCGATTCAAACAGGCACTCCATCTTTTTAAAATAAGTCCTTTACGATGGCTCCGGTAAGTAAATATTGTTATAGATGGATAGCTAAATAGTAGCTAACGCTAGCTGAATTGCTTGCCGTAACTAGCTAGCTAAGTAGCTATCTAGAACGTCTGTGCAGTTTCTCATTTTGTCAGCATTCAATGGCTTTAATTTACGCTGAACATTTTGTGTACTAATGTAATGTTACTCACCATTATTATAATGCAAACTATAACATCCACATCAATATCAAACGTCACATTGCTAGACATGCATTCACTAGACATGCATTCAGCTAGCTAGTGACTGTTAAATCCCAGTTCAACACCCAAGTTGTTCATATGAATACAAAGCACTGACGACCTTTTGTCATCAACAGCCAAGGAGCAAGAAGAGGAAGCCGAGCTTTCGCAGGCTGCTGAAGACGAGCAACGTGAAGCTTGACAACAAGCTGAAGAACCGTCAGTTCAAGAAGGAGAGCACCGACAAGAAACACCGCAAGGAGCAGAAGAAGCTCCGGGCAGCTATCAAAGATGCGGTGTTGAAGACCCCCCTCCCCCTGGAGCGCTACAAGAAGAGGCCAGGTGTGTGCAGCATGACTACCCATCCATACAGTAGTATAGCCTAACATCTAGGCCCTGACATCTTGCGCTCAAGCTGAATGATGCACTGTTTACAATGCACTGTTCCACACTATGGCACCAAAATAATTCCCTAACCTCTATAAAGTGATCTTTTGTTTTTGAGAGTCCTGTTTGGTGGCGTTGATTACATGTCCCTGTCTGGTGTCTGTTACAGAGGATGAAGAGGAGGAGGAGTTTGTAGAGTCCCTGCCAATAGACATGATGGATGAAGATGACCTGGAGCAGATTAAGGCCATGGCTCAGAAAGCCTCCTTCCTCACCAGAGACCTGTCATCGAGGTAATGACAAGCGATGGGGGAAATTACAGTCCATACTGTATTTTCACCCACATACAGCCAGTCAGGATTTCTTTATAGTGTGATGTACCATCTGTCTATTCATTTCATGTACATCCCATCACCAGTAGATCATAGCAAAGTGCACACATGGTGAAATGTATAGCTGTAGGAAACTGCCAAAATAAAGGAAACAGGGCATTGGGCCACCATGAGCCAGAAAAGCTTTAATGCACCTTGGTATAGATTCTACAAGTGTCTGGAACTCTATTGGAGGGATGCCATACCATTTTCCCATGAGAAATTCCATTGTTTGGTGTTTTGTTGATGGTGGTGGAAACCACTGTCTCAGGCGCCGCTCCAGAATCTCCCATAAGTGTTCAATTAGCTTGAGATCTGGTGACTGAGATGGCCATGGCATATGGTTTACATCGTTTTCATGCTCATCAACCATTCAGTGACCACTCGTGCCCTTTGGTTAGGGGCATTGACATCCTATGGGGGCATAGCCATGGTATCCAAAATAATGGCCTGCCCAGTATTTTTATACATGTACCTAACCATGATATCCGTATAGTCTAAATATGTTTGAAAGCAAAACATTTTTGGGGACACTTCAATAGAGAGAGAGAGCGAGACCAACTTGGGCAAGTTAACCTATGGCAGCAACAAGTTTGTTTATCTATCATACCATCTGGTAGTGCCTGTCTTGACTGCATCATATCATTGTAAAGAAGCTAGCTAGCTAAAATGGCAAAGCTAATTCAATCAATTTCAATCAATTTTATTTTATATAGCCCTTCTTACATCAGCTAATATCTCGAAGTGCTGTACAGAAACCCAGCCTAAAACCCCAAACAGCTAGTAATGCAGGTGTAGAAGCACGGTGGCTAGGAAAAACTCCCTAGAAAGGCAAAACCTAGGAAGAAACCTAGAGAGGAACCAGGCTATGAGGGGTGGCCAGTCCTCTTCTGGCTGTGCCGGGTGGAGATTATAACAGAACCATGCCAAGATGTTCAAAAATGTTCATAAGTGACAAGCATGGTCAAATAATAATCAGGAATAAATCTCAGTTGGCTTTTCATAGCCGATCATTAGAGTTTAAAACAGCAGGTCTGGGACAGGTAGGGGTTCCATAACCGCAGGCAGAACAGTTTAAACTGGAATAGCAGCAAGGCCAGGCGGACTGGGGATAGCAAGGAGTCACCACGGCCGGTAGTCCCGACGTATGGTCCTAGGGCTCAGGTCTCTCAGTTGGCTTTTCATAGCCGATCATTTAGAGTTGAAAACAGCAGGTCTGGGACAGGTAGGGGTTTCGTAGCCGCAGGCAGAACAGTTGAAACTGGAATAGCAGCAAGGCCAGGCGGACTGGGGGCAGCAGGGTGTCATCATGCCCGGTAGTCCTGACGTATGGTCCTAGGGCTCAGGTTCTCAGAGAGAAAGAGAGAACGAGAGAATTAGAGAGAGCATACTTAAATTCACACAGGACACTGGATAAGACAGGAGAAGTACTCCAGGTATAACCAACTAACCCCAGCCCCCCGACACATAAACTACTGCAGCATAAATACTGGAGGCTGAGACAGGAGCGGTCCGGAGACACTGTGGCCCCATCCGAAGAAACCCCCGGACAGGGCCAAACAGGAAGGATATAACCCCACCCACTCCGCCAAAGCACAGCCCCCGCACCACTAGAGGGATATCCCCAACCACCAACTTACAATCCTGAGACAAGGCCGAGTATAGCCCACAGAGGTCTCCACCACAGCACAAACCAAGGGGGGGGGGGGGCGCCAACCCAGACAGGAAGATCACGTCAGTAACTCAACCCACTCAAGTGACGCACCCCTCCCAGGGACGGCATGAAAGAGCACCAGCAGGCCAGTGACTCAGCCCCTGCAACAGGGTTAGAGGCAGAGAACCCCAGTGGAGAGGGGAACCGGCCTGGCAGAGACAGCAAGGGCTGTTCGTTGCTCCAGCCTTTCCGTTCACCTTCACACTCCTGGGCCAGACTACACTCAATCATATGACCTACTGAAGAGATAAGTCTTCAGTAAAGACTTAAAGGTTGAGACCGAGTCTGCGTCTCTCACATGGGTAGGCAGACTGTTCCATAAAAATGGAGATCTATAGGAGAAAGCCCTGCCTCCCGCTGTTTGCTTAGAAATTCTAGGGACAATTAGGAGGCCTGCGTCTTGTGACCGTAGCGTACGTATTGGTATGTACGGCAGGACCAACTCGGAAAGATAGGTAGGAGCAAGCCCATGTAACGCTTTATAGGTTAACAGTAAAACCTTGAAATCAGCCCTTGCCTTAACAGGAAGCCAGTGTAGGGAAGCTAGCACTGGAGTAATATGATCAAATTTCTTGGTTCTAGTCAGGATTCTAGCAGCCGTATTTAGCACTAACTGAAGTTTATTTAGTGCTTTATCCGGGTAGCCGGAAAATAGAGCATTGCAGTAGTCTAATCTAGAAGTAACAAATGCATGGATTAATTTTTCTGCATCATTTTTGGACAGAAAATTTCTGATTTTTGCAATGTTACGTAGATGGAAAAAAGCTGTCCTTGAAACAGTCTTGATATGTTCGTCAAAAGAGAGATCAGGGTCAAGAGTAACGCCTAGGTCCTTCACAGTTTTATTTGAGACGACTTTACAACCATCAAGATGAATTGTCAGATTTAACAGAAGATCTCTTTGTTTCTTGGGACCTAGAACAAGCATCTCTGTTTTGTCCGAGTTTAAAAGTAAAAAGTTTTCAGCCATCCACTTCCTTATGTCTGAAACACAGGCTTCTAGCGAGGGCAATTTTGGGGCTTCACCATGCTTCATTGAAATGTACAGCTGTGTGTCATCCGCATAGCAGTGAAAGTTAACATTATGTTTTCGAATAACATCCCCAAGAGGTAAAATATATAGTGAAAACAATAGTGGTCCTAAAACGGAACCTTGAGGAACACCGAAATGTACAGTTGATTTGTCGGAGGACAGACCATTCACAATTGAGGCTATTGTGAGGCGTCCTTGTCTACAACAACTCCATGAAACATCAGCCTACCTGTTGGTTGATCATTGTAGCCTACTCCTTCTCATTTAGCCAATTTAATTCTGTAATTTTAATTCCATTTTGCAGCTACAGCTGTGAAATATGTAGGCTACCGGTGTGTCTTTTTTATGGGGCTCACTCATAAAAACTCATAACTGTTGTTTCATTAACATTTAAAATGTAATGGTCAATCGATGTAGAATATGTAGCAATGTCACACAGATAATTTAATTAATTTTAATTAAAATGAATACTCTTCCCAAGTAATCGAATACTAACGGCCGTTCTGATATTCAATTGCTTAATTAACTCAGGAACTACACCTGTGTGGAAGCACCTGCTTTCAATATACTTTGTATCCCTCATTTACTGAAGAGTTTCCATTATTTTGGCAGTCTGTAACTTATCTTCTCACTTAACCTTACTTGTTTCTACTTGAATACCTGCAGTGGTCCAGTGCATGCCAAAAAGCGCAAGGGGGAGCAGCAGGGTCCAGAGAGTTATGAGAAGATGCCCAGAAAGATGCAGCTAACAGAGGAGAAGGAGGTCATTCACCTCCTGCCAATCAAAGACAAGATCAGAGGCCTTATCCCACAGAGCATGGAGAAACCTGGTAGGATCTTCACCTGAAAATGTCAATTTTTACCTTAGTCATAAGTCGCTCTGGGTAAGAGCGTCTGCTAAATGACTCAAATGTAAATATTGTTAAAACGTTTTAGAATTTATAACTCTGGTTATGTGGTTTTGTCTTTTTCAGTTGAACCAAAAAAAGCTGAGGAGGAAGCAGATGCCCCGACTGGCTTGGAGCAATTTGAAAACGGTACCAGCATCATGAACCACTTCTTGACTTGAGTCAGCCATCCTCTCTGTGTAGAATGTGTTGTTAGACCAACTATTGGTGGCCGAGTCCTGGTCAGTAGATGAGGTGCTTCTCTGATGTTGCTGGGGTGTATTCATTACGCCGTTTCTGTTGCAAAACGTTTAGTCTGTTGAAAAAAACATTTTACAACAGAAACGGTTTACAGCAAACGGAAACGAGAGTTTCTATTAGACAAATTCAGGTAGGTCCCGCCCCGTTTCATTTTCTTCCGTTTGGTTCTTAAACGCTAAACTGTTTCCGTTGCAAGGCGTAATGAAATCACCCCTGTTTGTCCACAGAGGATGAGGCTGTGACTGGGCCGGCCCTGACCCCTCAGGAGCAGCTGAATCTCCGCACACAGAAGCTGACAGACAGGAAACTACGCATCGCCAGTCTAGGATCAGACATCCTCTCAGACCCCACCATCAACGTATGGCTGCTCAGGCTACTGTTGCTTCCTTGTCCCCATGGCAACATTTCAAGTATTATCTTATGTCACATAGACCAATAATGTCATAGCAGATAGAAGGGGATTTGGGAAATGTTTTGTTTGGTTCTCCTTGATGGTTTCTGTATGAAACCACTGTGTCTGAACTCTGAAGAATGAACTGTCTGTCTGTGTTCAGATCAAGAAGCTGAAAGAGCTGCGATCCATGCTGATGGAGACAGACCCCTACGTGGCCGTGACGGTCAGAAAGCTGGTCATGGTCTCTCTGATGGAGGTCTTCAAGGACATCGTCCCCTCCTACAGGATAAGACCCCTGACAGATACAGAGAAAGCTTCAAAGGTGAAGAAAGAGACACAGCAGTTGAGGGAGTTTGAGGAGGGCTTGGTGAGCCAGTACAAGTTCTACCTGGAGAACCTGGAGCAGACAGTCAAAGGTACATAGACACACTCTCACACTGAACCCACTTTTCTCTTTATTTGTTGATATTAATGACTTGTTGTGACTGGTTGTTGTGCTTGTTATGACTGGTTCATATTAATGACTTGTTGTGACTGGTTCGTTGTGCTTGTTATGACTGGTTCATATTAATGACTTGTTGTGACTGGTTGTTGTGCTTGTTATGACTAGTTCATATTAATTACTTGTTGTGACTGGTTGTTGTGCTTGTTATGACTGGTTCATATTAATGACTTGTTGTGACTGGTTCGTTGTGCTTGTTATGACTGGTTCATATTAATGACTTGTTGTGCTTGTTATGACTGGTTCATATTAATGACTTGTTGTGACTGGTTGTTGTGCTTGTTATGACTGGTTCATATTAATGACTGGCTGCTGTTGGTTGTAACGATTTGCTGTGTGAACGCCCTGCCCTTTAGACTGGAAGCAGAAGAAGAGAAAGCGCAGTGAGGCGGTATCCCTGCAGTCCTATAAGGGCCTGGCTGAGGTGGCCATCCGCTGCATCTGTGAGCTGCTGGTGGCCCTGCCACATTTCAACTTCCACAACAACATCATCGTCATGGTGGTGCCTTTGATGAACGACTCCATCAAAAGGGTGAGTCTTGAGTAAGGGTTGGATGGGTCCCCAGAACCCCATATTAGGACATTCGAAAATCTTGTCGCATGAAGTTCACTATAACATTATTTTGTAATTTCATACAAATAAACTCAGCAAAAAATTTGATTTGATCTTATGATGTGTTGGATGGTTTTGCTTGTCTGTATTAGGTGTGTTAATCTCGGAAACCCAGAACTGAAATCTTGCATAAACGTCCTCTCACTGTCAACTGTGTTTATTTTCAGTAAACTTAACATGTGTAAATATTTGTATGAACATAACAAGATTCAACAACTGAGACATAAACTGAACAAGTTCCACAGACATGTGACTAACATAAATGGAATAATTTGTCCCTGAACAAAGGGGAGTCAAAATCAAAAGTAACAGTCAGTATCTGGTGTGGCCATAAGCTGCATTAAGTACTGCAGTGCATCTCCTCCTCATGGACTGCACCAAATTTGCCAGTTCTTTCTGTGAGATGCTACCCCACTCTTCCACCAAGGCACCTGCAAGTTCCCGTACATTTCTGGGGGGAATGGCCCTAGCCCTCACCTTCCGATCCAGCAGGTTCCAGACGTGCTCAATGGGATTGAGATCTGGGCTCTTCGCTGGCCATTGCAGAACACTGACATTCCTGTCTTGCAAGAAATCGCTCACAGAACGAGCAGTATGGCTGGTGTCATTGTCATGCTGGAGGGTCATGTCAGGATGAGCTTGCAGGAAGGTTACCACATGAGGGAGGAGGATGTCTTCCCTGTAACGCACAGCGTTGAGATTGCCTGCAATGACAACAAGCTCAGTCCAATGATGCTGTGACACACCGCCCCAGACCATGACGGACCCTCCACCAACAAATCGATCCCGCTCCAGAGTACAGGCCTCGGTGTAACGCTCATTCCTTTGACGATAACCACGAATCCGACCATCACCCCTGGTGAGACAAAACCACAACTCGTCAGTGAAGAGCACTTTTTGCCAGTCCTCTGGTCCAGCGACGGTGGGTTTGTGCCCATAGGCGACGTTGTTGCCGGTGATGTCTGGTGAGGACCTGCCTTACAACAGGCCTACAAGCCCTCAGTCCAGCCTCTCTCAGCCTATTGCGGACAGTCTGAGCACTGATGGAGGGATTGTGCGTTCCTGGTGTAACTCTGGCAGTTGTTGTTGCCATCCTGTACCTGTCCTGCAGGTGTGATGTTCGAATGTACCGATCCTGTGCAGGTGTTGTTACACGTGGTCTGCCACTGCGAGGACGATCAGCTGTCCGTCCTGTCTCCCTGTAGCGCTGTCTTAGGCGTCTCACAGTACGGACATTGCAATTTATTGCCCTTTCCACATCTGCAGTCCTCATGCCTCCTTGCAGCATGCCTAAGGCACGTTCACGCAGATGAGCAGGGATCCTGGGCATCTTTCTTTTGGTGTTTTTCAGAGTCAGTAGAAAGGCCTCTTTAGTGTCCTAAGTTTTCATAACTGACCTTAATTGCCTGCCGTCTGTAAGCTGTTAGTGTCTTAGCGACCGTTCCACAGGTGCATGTTCATTAATTGTTTATGGTTCATTGAACAAGCATGGGAAACAGTGTTTAAACCCTTTACAATGAAGATCTGTGAAGTTATTTGGATTTTTACTAATTATCTTTGAAAGACAGGGTCCTGAAAAAGGGATGTTTCTTTTTTTGCTGAGTTTAGATGTGGTTTTGCAGAGACATGGAGATGGCTATGTGGAGTTGTAGCTTTAGTTAACCCTATAGGCTAAATTGGCCTATATGGATAGGGCTAAATTGGCCTATGTGGATTGGGCTAAATTGGCCTATATCAGGGTTCCCCAACTGGCGGCCAAATCGCGGGTGGTTTAAGTTGGCCCCCCATAAAAGACTGTAAAAACACCAGGAAATCCGCTCCCAAGTATTCCCACGCATAATGGAGAGACGCGTGAGCATATAAAAATTATAATAGTTGATTCGATTTATATAGCAATTTTCTACCAACTGAGGTACTCAAAACGCTTTACATAGTAGGGGGAAACTCACCTCATCCATCATCAATGAGCTGCACCCATCTCAGTGCCAGAACTCTCACCACACATCAGCTCATTGATACGGGTACGAGGGTAAAGGGTTACGTCCTATGAAATTAAACAGGGATATGATTTTATCTCGTGATGTGTTGGATGGTTTTGTCTTGTCTGTATTAGGGGTGTGTTAATCTCGGAAACCCAGAACTGAAATCTGGCGTAATTGCCTCAGATGCTCGATTTAAAGTTCTGAGATGTTAGGAGAAAGGTGCTAACGCGACTTATGAAGTCTCCACCCCCCTAAACGGAAACTCTCCAAGTTTCTGGCAAGTATATTGGCCGAATGACCCCTTCCCATCTGAAATTTGAAAGATGCGAAATCGTGGTTTGTCCAAATAATCAGTGACGAAAAAGCAGTGGACTGGAACAAAGTTCCTCGTTAGTCGCTGCATCCCACAGTCTGTTGACAGACGCTACTACCATTTATGTTACGTGCTTCTGTCTACGAGTGATTAGGGGTGTGCTTGTCTCTTGACTACTGAGTTTGTCTTGGTTGTGCAGGTGTCTGATATGTGCTGTGAAGCTGTCAAGAAGCTGTTGAAACAGGACAAACAGGGCCAGGCATCACTAGGGACAGTCAAAGTGATCTCCGGACTGGTCAAGAGCAGGAACTACGACGTCAGACCTGAGGTACTTTTCACCTACTATTTCCCGGCAAAACGTTGAGTTTGAAGAGTTTTTGACGGCATGTCTCTTGTCGAAATGCATCTGACGTTTTCTCAATGTTGACTTTTCCCTACAGCTGCTGAAGGTTCTCCTCTGTCTGAGGATAAAGGAAGTAGAGGTGAAGAAGGACACAGACGACACGGCTCCCAAAAAGAAGTTAATGAACTACAAAGACAAAAAGAAGAATCTGTCCAGGATGCAGAGAAAGGTCAGTAGCCCTTAACGGGGGCAAGCAAACATGTGGAATTGTTTTAAGATGCTCATACCAAGGGTCATTTAGCTATTTGCTTTTGAATTTTAGGACCCCTTAAGGTATCCCAAACATTTTTTGATGAAACGTTGCATTTGGCCTTACAACTATTAGCCCATAGAAACAAATTGAATAACAACTTCAACTTCATAGATGGATAAACAGATAGTCCCAAAAGAAATCTAAAGGAAGTTTGTTCTGAAGTGTCTGTCCTATATCTGAGATATAAGTAGGATCAGGAAACTGTATTTATTATTGTATTTAACCCCATATTTTAGTGCCTAAAATATCTCCATATATACTTCCAATAATCTTTTTAACTGGTACCCGGCTACCTTCAGACACATGTCTTCCTGTGTTTAACTAGCATTCTGTGAGTTTAAATGTTGTATGTGTCTGTGAAAAGTGTAATGGAAGTGTCCTGTCATCCTTACAGTGGAAAAAGGCTGAAGAGAAACTAGAGAAAGAGCTACTAGAGGCTGAGGCGTCAGAGAACAAAGACAAGAAGCTCAAATTGGTGAGTTTAATTAAATACTTTTAACTGTCTCAAATGGGTAGGAAGGAATGTTTTTTAATATAGAGCTGAAAAGCTCAACGTTTTGAGAAAGTGATTTTAAACTTCTCATGACCCAAATTCCAATTATCGGTTCTTTCTCCTAGCACACGGAGACCTTGAACATAGTGTTCCTGATTTACTTCAGAATCCTGAAGAAAGCTCAGAAGTCCATCCTGCTTCCCTCCGTTTTAGAAGGGTTAGCAAAGTAAGAGACGGATACATTAATAACTTACGCAAATGTAAATATATTTGATAGAATGTGGACATTGTTTTCTGACAAATTTCTTCTCCGAAGGTTTGCTCATCTAATTAACCTGGAGTTCTTTGATGACTTGTTGAACGTTCTCCAACATCTTATCCAATCAGGGGTGGGTAGTACAAATCCTTTACCAGTCACATCCAAATACTATTCACATCATCTGACATGATTGGCTAATGGCTTTTCTCCCTCTAGGATCTGACCTATCGGGAAAGCCTTCACTGCATTCAGACAGCCTTCAACATCCTTTCTGGTCAAGGTCAGTGATTGGTTTATGATGACATCAATGAGCATTATTAAACACCTCACAGAAATATATGTACAGGACATGCACATTTAATGAGTTCCTTTCTTTTGCGAACAGGTGATGTCCTCAATATTGACCCTCTGAAATTCTACACCCACCTGTACAAAACACTGCTCAAACTCAATGCTGGTAAGTCAAACTGTCTAGAGCTTATTGAAGCCCATGTCTGGCTCACCGTCACCGAATGTGTTCTGCTCTGATGTGACCCGTTCCTTCATTAAAACGATCAAAACAAGTTTTAATACTGTGGCTGTTTTTTTCCCCAGGTGCGTCTAATGATGACATCAGCATCGTACTGCGTTGTCTCGACGTGATGCTGACCAAGCGTAGGAAACAGGTGACCCTGCAGCGCGCCTTGGCTTTCGTCAAGAGACTGAGCACGCTCAGTCTGCACACACTGCCCAACGCCACCGTGGGCATCCTGGCATCCAACAGGATGTTGATACATGTAAGTGTTTACCGTCTGTGTGTATGATGGGGAGGGAGAGATTGTGTGAGAGCATACGTTTGTGATTAAGAAAGCTGTGCTCCCCCTCTCTCTCCCAGACCTTCCCCAAGTGTGACATCCTCCTGGACAATGAGGCTCAGGGTAGTGGGGTGTTCCTGCCTGAGCTGGACGAGCCAGAGTACTGCAACCCTCAGAACACTGCCCTGTGGGAGCTACACACACTCAGGGTAAACACACACACACACATACACACACACAGAAAAACACACACACACACAGAGGTATAGCTGATGGCGTTGTTGTTGTTGCAGAAACACTACCACCCAGTTGTCAGGAGGTTTGCCGTTCACCTCTGTGCAGGGGCTCCTAGTGAAGGATCTGGAGCGCTGACCGTTCAACTCACCAGAAGGTAACAACAGTGTGTGCAGACTGTACTCCTGAGTGGCGCAGTTGGTCTAAGGCACTGCATCGCAGTGCTAACTGTGCCACTAGAGCCGCGACCGGGAGACTCATGGGCGGCGCACAATTGGCCCAGCGTCGTCCAGGGTAGGGGAGGGAATGGCCGGCAGGGATGTAGCTCAGTTGATAGAGCATGGCGTTTGCAACGCCAGGGTTGTGGGTTCGATTCCCACGGGGGGCCAGTATATGTATAAAAAAAATATATATATAAAAAAATGTATTCACTAACTGTAAGTCACTCTGGATACGAGCGTCTGCTAAATGACTAAAATGTAAATGTAAGAGGATGCCGTCACTTTTCAATCTCACATTTAATTCATCCTCTAAAAAAGGCCCTTTGCTGCTCCTCCAGCTCTTTTACAAATACTCATACAAGACCCAAGTCTTTCTCAACAGTGCTGAGATATGAGATCCTAACCAAAGATGTGTGCATGTGCATTATATAAAAAAAATGATTGAAAGGTGTACATTACTTTTGACCTGTCTCAGGCACCCAGTGGAGCTGTTTGAAGACTACAGAGCTAAAGACATGACCTTCAACCCTCCAGTGGCAGCGCCTTCCACAAAGAAGAAGGTACATCCCGTCCCTCCCTGTCCATGTATATTCCACAATGTTATTAGGCCCCACTTAAAGGAAAACCACCCAAAAAAGTATATTTTGGTATTTGTTTCATTAGTCCATTGTTGACATAGTCCCAAAAGGTTTTGCTTGTCAGCAATCAAGTTTTCAAGATGTGTAACTTTCAAAATACAGAAATCATCCCCGTATGATGCTGCATTTTCCGTTAAGCGAGTTGTCTTTGTGATATCTTTGGCTCCTACCTCTGCATTGTGTCTGTCGCAGGATTATTTCACGATAGGCGAAGCCCTGTTGGATGATAAATTGAAGCAGCAGATTGATTGTGTTCTCTCAGCGGAGGAAGAGGATCCTACGTCGCTGGATTTCTCTGCAGTTCAGACAAGCAGCACATAACACTTCACACCCAACCGGAACCCCCCCCCCTCTTTTCCTTTGCCTGTATTTTATCTAAATGGACTGTAAAATAACAATCAACCATAAACTGGTTTCTGTTGGTGACATTTCTTTTTAATCATTCTCTTTGCTGGTGTTCAGACATTTTTGACACATGAGAATGCACAAAAATCTTGGATACAGTTAGCTGTTGAAGAACATTAAAGTAATGTTTAGTTAAACCACCTGCCTCGTTGATTACTCATGTCCCGGACCTACAGTCCTGTACATCCCTTTATAAATCTCATGGAGTAATGAATTCACAGCATACAACAGCCCACCATTGCATTAATCTGTAATTTTACTGTAAGTAATCCATATAAATAGTTGCACACTAATTATGCTCCCAAACATTTCCTGGGTATACAGTGCCTTCAGGAAGTATTCATACCCCTTGATTTATTACACATTTTGTGTTACAGCCTGAATTCAAAATTGATTAAAGAAAAACAAAATTCTCACCCATCTACACACAATACCCCATAATGACAAAGTGAAAACATATTTTTAGAAATGAAATAGTCTCATTTACAGAAGTATTCACACCCCTGAGTCAATACATGTTAGAATCAGCTGCAGCGATTACAGCTGTGAGTCTTTCTGGGTAAGTCTCAAAGAGCTTTGCACAACTGGATTGTACAATATTTGCCCCATTATTCTTTTGAAAATTCTTCAAGCTCTGGTTGTTGATCAATGCTAGAGAACCATTTAAGTCAAAACTAACTTGGCCACTTCGGAACATTCACTGTCTTCTTGGTAAGCAACTCTAGTGTATATTTGGCCTCGTGTTTTAGGTTATTGTCCTGCTGAAAGGTAAATTAATCTCCCAGTGTCTGTTGGAAAGCAGACTGAACCAGGTTTTCCTCTAGGATTTTGCCTGTGCTTAGCTCCATTCCGTTTCTTTTTTTATCCTGAAACTCTCCAGTCCTTAACGATTACAAGCATACCCATAACATGATGCAACCACCACTATGCTAGAAAATATGGAGAGCTGTACTCAGTAATGTATTGGATTCGCCCCAAACAAAACACTTTGTATCCAGGAGAAAAATTGCTTTGGCACATTTTTTGCAATGCCTTGTTGCAAACAGGATGTTTTGGAATATTTTAATTCTTTACAGGCTTTTCACTCTGTCAATTAGGTTAGTATTGTGGAGTAACTACAATGTTGATTCATGCGCAGTTTTCTGCAATCACATCCATCCATTAAACTCAAACTGTTTTAAAGGCACTATTGGCCTCATGGTGAAATCCCTGAGTGGTTTCCTTCCTCTCCGGCAAAATAGTTATCTTTGTAGTGACTGCATGAATTGATACACCATCCAAAGTGTAATTAATAACTTCACCATACTCAAAGGGATATTCAATGTCTGCTCTTTTTTTGACCCATCTACCAATATGTGCCCTTTATGAGGCATTGGAAAACCTCTGGCCTTTGTGGTTGAATCTGTGTTTGAAATTCACTCCTTGACTGAGGGACCTTACAGATAATTGTATGCGTGAGGTACAGAGATGAGATGGTCATTCAAAAATCATGTTAACCGCTATTATTGGAGACGAAAGAAACGCACACCTATTTAGGCGAGGTTCTGGCTAACAGTGTAGAACACTTGATAAAGAAAAGGAGAGCCGCACACTAGGAGCTCAGATGCAATAATTTAATAACCAACGTTTCGACAGACAAGCTGTCTTCATCCGGGTTTAATGGCAAACACTGCGGGTCACTAGTTTATATAGTGTCAAAGGACACACACAGGTGTCTGTAAGTACAGTGAGGGAAAAAAGCATTTGATCCCCTGCTGATTTTGTACGTTTGCCCACTAACAAAGACATGATCAGTCTATAATTTTAATGGTAGGTTTATTTGAACAGTGAGAGACAGAATAACGCATGTCAAAATTTTTATAAATTGATTTGCATTTTAATGAGGGAAATAAGTATTTGACCCCCTCTCAATCAGAAAGATATCTGGCTCCCAGGTGTCTTTTATACAGGTAACGAGCTGAAATTAGGAGCACACTCTTAAAGGGAGTGCTCCTAATCTCAGTTTGTTACCTGTAAAAAAGACAGCTGTCCACAGAAGCAATCAATCAATCAGATTCCAAACTCTTCACCATGGCCAAGACCAAAGAGCTCTGTCAGGGACAAGATTGTAGACCTACAAAGGCTGGAATGGGCTACAAGACCATCGCCAAGCAGCTTGGTGAGAAGGTGACAACAGTTGGTGCGTTTATTCGCAAATGGAAGAAACACAAAAGAACTGTCAATCTCCCTCGGCCTGGGGCTCCATGCAAGATCTCACCTCGTGGAGTTGCAATGATCATGAGAACGGTGAGGAATCAGCCCAGAACTACACTGGAGGATCTTGTCAATGAGCTCAAGGCAGCTGGGACCATAGTCACCAAGAAAACAATTGGTAACACACTACGCCGTGAAGGACTGAAATCCTGCAGCACCCGCAAGGTCCCCCTGCTCAAGAAAGCACATATACAGGCCCGTCTGAAGTTTGCCAATGAACATCTGGATGATTCAGAGGAGAACTGGGTGAAAGTGTTGTGGTCAGATGAGACCAAAATCGAGCTCTTTGGCATCAACTCAACTCGCCGTGTTTGGAGGAGGAGGAATGCTGCCTATGACCCCAAGAACACCATCCCCACCGTCAAACATGGAGGTGGAAACATTATGCTTTGGGGGTGTTTTTCTGCTAAGGGGACAGGACGACAACACCGCATCAAAGGGACGATGGACGGGGCCATGTACCGTCAAATCTTGGGTGAGAACCTCCTTCCCTCAGCCAGGGCATTGAAAATGGGTCGTGGATGGATATTCCAGCATGACAATGACCCAAAACACACGGCCAAGGCAACAAAGGAGTGGCTCAAGAAGAAGCACATTAAGGTCCTGGAGTGGCCTAGCCAGTCTCCAGACCTTAATCCCATAGAACATCTGTGAAGGGAGCTGAAGGTTCGAGTTGCCAAACGTCAGCCTCGAAACCTTAATGACGTGGAGAAGATCTGCAAAGAGGAGTGGGACAAAATCCCTCCTGAGATGTGTGCAAACCTGGTGGCCAACTACAAGAAATGTCTGACTGTGATTGCCAACAAGGGTTTCGCCACTAAGTACTAAGTCATGTTTTGCAGATGGGTCAAATACTTATTTCCCTCATTAAAATGCAAATTGTTAAGTTGCGTCAATTCAAATCTGGTATTGGGAACAAAAAGAGGTCAATACACGTCTTCTAAAATAGACTAGTATTTTAATTAATGCAAAACACTTCAATGGTAAATATGATGTTCGTATATACGGGTCCACTGAAATACCACACAGGGCACTCAGAGAACTGATCCATTGTTACAGGCTCTTCTTTAAATACCCTGACAGTGATAGTTCCCGCTCCTTGCTGGGCCTATCAGGGTAGAGGCTGAGTGTGGTTTAGACTTACTCAGCCTATCGTTGGCGCACAGGCTGGTCCCATTCCCTTGGCGCTTCACTGTTGCCAGGTATAAGTTGTTATCATCACAACTTGTCCAGAGAGTCGGCACTTTTTGCAGTACACGTCCTTGAGCGCGGTTTAACAAAGAGGCAGTGTTTGTGTATGTGAGACACAAGTTCTTATCTCCCCCTACTCCCTAACAGCTCCTCACATGAATCACAGCTTGTTAAGTTAAACAGTCTATATCAGTACAGCACAAACCTATTATGTTTAATCATTAATGTATTCTTTCTAAGCTAGGCATCACATCTAGTTATAAGAAAATAGATCCCCACAAAATCAATTTATAATATTTTTGACATGCGCTTTTCTGGATTTCTTTGTTGTTATTCTGTCTCTCACTGTTCAAATAAACCTACCATTAAAATTATAGACTGATCATGTCTTTGTCAGTGGGCAAACGTACAAAATCAGGGGGATCAAATACTTTTCCCCCTCACTGTATGGCCTGATGTCATTGGTTAATTCACAGATAAACAGAACATACAAAAATCATGAATGGATAGCATACGATCATAGATACAATTTGGCTACATAGGCCTACAAACATTTACAATTAATAGCATAATCCCATAGAAAATCTGTGGAGGGAGCTGAAGGTTCGAGTTGCCAAACGTCAGCCTCGAAACCTTAATGACTTGGAGAAGATCTGCAAAGAGGAGTGGGACAAAATCCCTCCTGAGATGTGTGCAAACCTGGTGGCCAACTACAAGAAACGTCTGACTGTGATTGCCAACAAGGGTTTTGCCACTAAGTACTAAGTCATGTTTTGCAGAGGGGTCAAATACTTATTTCCCTCATTAAAATGCAAATTGTTAAGTTGCGTCAATTCAAATCCGGTATTGGGAACAAAAAGAGGTCAATACACGTCTTCTAAAATAGACTAGTATTTTAATTAATGCAAAACACTTCAATGGTAAATATGATGTTCGTATATACGGGTCCACTGAAATACCACACAGGGCACTCAGAGAACTGATCCATTGTTACAGGCTCTTCTTTAAATACCCTGACAGTGATAGTTCCCGCTCCTTGCTGGGCCTATCAGGGTAGAGGCTGAGTGTGGTTTAGACTTACTCAGCCTATCGTTGGCGCACAGGCTGGTCCCAGCCCCTTGGCGCTTCACTGTTGCCAGGTATAAGTTGTTATCATCACAACTTGTCCAGAGAGTCGGCACTTTTTGCAGTACACGTCCTTGAGCGCGGTTTAACAAAGAGGCAGTGTTTGTGTATGTGAGACACAAGTTCTTATCTCCCCCTACTCCCTAACAGCTCCTCACATGAATCACAGCTTGTTAAGTTAAACAGTCTATATCAGTACAGCACAAACCTATTATGTTTAATCATTAATGTATTCTTTCTAAGCTAGGCATCACATCTAGTTATAAGAAAATAGATCCCCACAAAATCAATTTATAATATTTTTGACATGCGCTTTTCTGGATTTCTTTGTTGTTATTCTGTCTCTCACTGTTCAAATAAACCTACCATTAAAATTATAGACTGATCATGTCTTTGTCAGTGGGCAAACGTACAAAATCAGGGGGATCAAATACTTTTCCCCCTCACTGTATGGCCTGATGTCATTGGTTAATTCACAGATAAACAGAACATACAAAAATCATGAATGGATAGCATACGATCATAGATACAATTTGGCTACATAGGCCTACAAACATTTACAATTAAT